ACAGATAGTGGATACAACCTTTTGAATATTGAAATTAATATAAAAAATTGATTCAACATTTTTTCTTAAAAAAAAAGTATTTTCAAATAATTAAAATTTTTTGCAATAAAATATTTATTAATTACTCATAATGAATAGATTTCTAACGTTTTCAAATGCAGTATATTCTTTCATATATCATATAGAGTGGATGCTTACGCGATATTAAAAGTCATACATCAATTTTGAATACTAATAAAGAAATTTTATTCTTAGTACAAAAATAGTTATTCAATGGAAATCATATGAGCTGTTGAACAATCAAAATCTACGTTCCTGATCTATAATTCCTCATGCGCAGTATCAAATTGCCGCAAAAGTGTTTAACCCTTAAACAGTTTTATGTGCAATCTATAACTGCACAAAAATCATTAAGCTATTTTTAGTTTGTGATTTGGGCGCTGACAAAACTCACTTTGGAATTCATATAACAAGTAAGATAATCAAAATTCGCTTTACTTTAGCTGATCTCCATATTTGGTAATATCCCTTGTCGGAATTTATGTTCGTAGAAATATATACTGTTCTAGTAAGAAGTTCTAGAGTGGTTACACGTTTTAACGCCCAAATATAATGTATTAAAAAAAGGTAATCCGTATTTTTTATTCCATGTTTTATCCATAAATGTTACATATTTGTGGAATTTATACTTTAAAATGATGGAATTTATTCGGCGTAGCCAGTCATGTCGCAGATTTATGGAATTTTTTACAGAAAATATGGAAGTATAATGGAGTATTCAATAAAATTTTTTTATAGGAATAGATTATAAGCTAATCGCTTTATATGTAGTAAAATAAAATAAAAATAAAAATAAATAATGCATAAACTGTATATATATAAAGTCTCAAAATTTTGCTTAAAGTGTTAGAAATACCGTTCTTCTAAACAAAAAGATAGGCAGAATATTAAGTATATTGAGCAGAATCGAATCATTCTTAGTGTTTAGAACCAAATATTTCTCTCTGCATATTATATTTAACTCTGCGCGTTGTTGATTAAGAATATAGTTTAAGTACAGTAGTTCTTTTAGATGATTCAAATTACAAGCGAGCATTCAAATAAAATATCTTTCGTGTAAGAACGATCAGATAAAATTATAATTTATTAGTGAAATAATTTGTTAGAAATCATCTTGTTATTATTTATAAACATTTAACGTTATTAAATTTAAGCATCACTTTTGCATATCAATATTAATCAACGGTTAAATCAAGTGATTTTCGCAAAAGAGGAACAAGATTACCATATCTCTTTGTAAAAATTCCTAAAAAGTCACAAATTTTTGTGAGACAAAAGAAAAAAGGATTATAATGAAAATCAAGAAGTTCAAGATTGAAACAAACTTATCCATTCAACATTGGATAAATAAGCCCAAAAGAAAGCGTCTTGATATAAAACGTACTGGATTAACAACATTTGTACTTATGTCGGTTCATCAAGCTCAAACGATGACCGATAATGATCGGTCAAGACAACAGTTACAGGTTCATAATTCAGTAATTTGAAAAAATAAAGACCTCAACTTTTAGCAGTTGATAAAGACTAAACAATTATTCAAGATACTTAATCATATTAGGTTAATGGTTTGTAAATTATATTTTTCTGCGAAAGCCTTGTCAATTAAGTTTTTTAGCAAAGTTTTGCCAATTATGTAAACAATGTTGCATTATACATTATACAACATAATGCAATATAAAATTTAAATCGCACATAGAAACTATTATGTAATTTTATTTGGAAATTTATAAATAAAATAATAAACTTAGTGATTATTAATAACTATATACTTACTTCTTATTCACTATATGCTGTATCAGACGGCAACATATTTATATGATACGCAATTAAAAGTGAACCCTGGATTATTTTTTGCCAAACTAGAAAAAAATTATTTATTCCAGGAAATTCACATAATTCACGCCGGTTTTCATATTGGAATTATTCTACAACGTGAAAGTATTTTTAATGTTTCAGATCTAACTGTGAATGAAAAAACTTGTAGAATTATGGAGTTTCTCCTGAAATTCTTCAAGGTAAAAAAATTAAAAAATCTGATATCCATGGATTCGGTATTATATAATAATGCGAAGAATTGACAATAGGATAGAGACCCACAATGATAGGCCTTTGCTATCAATTGTTCACTCTGAATTTTATGTAGAATTAGTTGAACAATATACGGACCCATGTCAATAATATTGCTAAAAAAAACTTTAGAATGGATAGGAATGTTGAAGATACGCTGTTTTATGTATTTATGATGCTAATAAGCACAGATTAAAGTCGAATAGTCAAATATACAGATACTAGTAAAGTAAATTAGCCTCTGTATTCCTGACGATGTGGATAAAAATAGAATAAATACGTTCAAAAGTTTGCCACTAAAAAATATAAAATTGAAATAATATAATAATGAAGATTATTCGATATGAGCTTACTAAAATATACATAAAACCTAATTAAACGGCTAATATCTGATGCACTGAGTAAAAATGCTTGGCACTCCAAAAATCCCCTAATTTTACCCACATTATAAAACCTAACTATAATATCCTAAATTAATACTAAGTTATTATAAAAGTATATGTGGTATTGAGTACCACCAATATGTTTTAGTACTACTCATTAAATAAATTTAAAATTTATTTTAGTATGAGTATTTATCATTTTCATTTAAATAAATCTGAAAGGTTTTCATTTTTATAAATGACTTTTTCTCCATGTAAAATCGTAAAACTTTCAACATCATTGTTTAAAGTGATATGACGGTCCGCGTATTGAATATTAACCGGTTTTTTTGATTTAATTAAAAAAGAAATCTCATTATTCGCCATTAATGAACCTAAACTCGATTCATAATTATTGGTTGAGAAAGAAATTCTTATCGCATCATTTTCTTTTTGAAATTTAAAGGTCACAAAACATTGCTTATAACAATAATAAAGATATTCGACTGTCACTAATTAAAAAATTGTTTAGTACGTATTAAATTAAAAAATTTAATTG